GGAGTTGTATTTTGTCTCGCATCAATTATATCGTCAGTTATATCGTTATCGCAAATTTTCAAATATATATCGTGATAAATATTTTTGGCCATATCGCCCTGCTCTACTGTTTACAATACAGTGTAAAACAAACTATGTATGAAAACATGAAATATGTCCTTGTTTGCTATTGTTATTCTTGTCCTAGCTTGACACATTCTTGGTCACAGTGCAGTGTCGTACACTGTTGAGCTCTGTGCAAGCTCACGAAGTGGCCACAAGCCCTGCTAGCATGAACCTTATATCACTGTGCATATACAGGTTTGAAATGTACAGTCATGCCCCCTGAGCATAAACCATTGTGTGACTGTGTTTGAGAGGCCTTCAAACTGGTCTTTCTAGCTTATTATACATTTTTCTGTACCCTGTGGCAAGACGCCTACACCAACCAAACCTTTGGATCGTTCTCTCTAAAAGCCCCCCAAAGGAACTACATTTTATATACATCTGCAGAAAGCCAAGTTGTGTCTGTAACTGCTTGTATTAACAATCATTCTTGAATGATTTTGAAATAAATAAATGCTGCATGTATATGTAATTTATTTTAAATTCATCCACCGTGCCGGACCAGCAGATCGGGTTTACTGGCCGCCTACGTTTTTCTTTTGTCTGCTAAAAAGGCGGGAGTAGCTTGAATTGTAACAATATGGAATCATGTTTTAGTTACTTTATTAATAATGTTATATAAAGTATCTAAAGATGTTTTGGTTTTGTTTTTTTCGTTTTTTTAATGTAGTAAACCAAACACTATTTCCCTCTTTTGACATGCCTGCAGGCTATCAGCAGCCAAAGAAATCAGCCAGATTAAAAAATTACGCTAAACCCAACATCTGCTTAGAAATGTTTTGTTTCAGCTTGTTCTTACTTCAGCACCTTCATTTCTATGTAAAACAACATGTTGGTCGTTGGAAGCAGCTGAAAAGATTAGCTTTCTTCATCTTTAAGCATGTTGATGAAGTGGCTTGATAAAGGACCGTTATTGGCGGCCCCTTTTTCTGACTGATGCTAGAAATTTCACAGCTTTAATCTGGGACTTTAAGAGAGAACCACAGTCTTTAAATAAAACTATGGTATGCTGCTAAATTAACCATCTATTAACTTTACAAATGGACAAACTGATAGCTCTTGCTGCATAGCACCTATAGTTAGCTGTTTTAAATTTGCCGTATCTGCTTGCTGCTATCATAACAAATTATTTCCACAAAGGCTGACAGAGCACATTAATCCACATGTTTAATTTGTCACTGATTTTTATGCCAGATGAGCTTCCTGTCGCAGCTCTGCCAATTATCTGAGCCTTTAACAGGCACCAGGAGTACACTAGCTTGTGACTCCCAGAAGCTGGGTGTGTTACTGTTGGGTAGCTGCTAAAAGTGGCTACCTTGTATGTATGCACCAGCCAGGGTAAACATTATGGATAAGTGTTCATTAAAAGGAGTTGAAACAGGAGTAGTGACCTCTTGTGTTGTTTAGCATTGTAAAGGTGAACTACTGCAGTTGCTAGTGAAGGGGGACTGTGTGCCTGCCTGTCGGCAGCAGTGTTAGCTGAAGTTGTGTGTAAGCTGGAGGAGGCAAAGACAGCACTGTTGGTATCAATACTGTCACAAATGAGTAAATAATCCAATAGTAAGCATTTTCAGGATCAATTTTTATCTGGGAATTGATTTAACAACCATAATCTGCTTGCTGACAGCTGGAGCATAAACACACACCCTTAACAGTCCTGCAGTCTTTACTGCTGTGTAGAAGCCAATCCAAGGAATGTTGAAGCGAAAAAGCGCATTTCCCCCATCCTGTTTTTCACCCTTGCCTTTTCTCTCACACAGTGTTCACGGCTGAGCAGTACCAGCAGCACCAGGAGCAGCTGGCCCTCATGCAGAAACAGCAGCTGGAGCAGAGCGAACAGCAGCAGCAACAAGCCAATATTGTTCCTACAACTACCAACACACAGGTCAGTGTAGACTAATACCCTTTCTGTACCTTTTTATTGTAGTAGACTCAGGTAGCTGTCCAGTATTAAGAAGGCAACGGGATTAGGAGGAGGTGGTATTACCACAGAAGTGTAATAAGTATAATAAGTGTAATAAGTGTAATATTCTGTCCAGAATTGCTGGGATGATTCTCAACACTTGTGTCATTCTCTGCAACCAAGTGGCACATTTAAAATGTGCTTTTCTGGCCAAGTAGTCAAACTAAATGAGCCAGACTTCTCCCACTGATTTACAGCTGAAGGTCACTTCCCTCATCCTTAGGAAGTGGGACACATCCTCATTCCCACGAGCAGCATTAATGCCCTTAGCTGATTTGGCCACAAAAGTGCTGAGCTCAGTTGTTTCAGCAGTTTCATACATTTTAACACAGGAGTCAAGCATTTGGCACAGACCCACGTTTTCTTTTTTCTACATGTCTCTGGTTTCCAGGCGCTCATATCCAAGACATTAGACCAGGCCAGCGCCCAGTTTGCTGCTTCAGCCCTCGTCACCACGGATCAGCTGCTGGCTTGTAAGTCCAAAGAGGACCCAGTACCGGTAGTCACGAGTGGAGTCAATGGGATCCTCCCAGGTGCAGGTGAGTGACACAAATATGTAGTCGCTATGTGCATATATCTTTATGTTAAAAGGAGCATGAGCCTTGGCCTTAAGACAACAATTCTGATGGCTAAAGATCCAAATGGGACACAAAAAAAAAAAAAAAAAAAAAGGAGCATGAGCCAAAGATCTGAGGGACAATTTCCAGGATACATAATAGTTGGAGAGACCAATTTAAAGTAATGTCTTTAGGGCTCAATTTTTGGAAATACTTGGTTTAGATTGTGCATTCATGTCACCTCAGAGGCTGGGGAGAAAAAACAAGCCCAAAAAAAAGCAAACGAAGACAACAAAAAATAACGCTGCCAACAGCCTCACAATTACCATAGTGTTGCATCAGCACCGCTGACAGTGTCAACAAACTTAACATAAGCTTCAGAGAGATGGAAGTTATTGCAGCACTGTTGGTTAGGGTTGCATTAGATTGTGCAGGTGCACCTCTGATCCAAAAATGGTATTTTGCCATTGCACAGGGAACTTTATAGCTCCAGGTTTGTGTGGCTGCCTGACTACATTAGCTGTTATCATTTGCATTCATGAGACCTTTTCTTCATCCACCAGGTGTTTTCAAAGGTTTGCACCTATCCAGCACAACAGCAGCCCATCACCAGACCAACCAGACGACGCACACTACCACCACCGCAGCCCCCACTTTCCTCCAACCTTCCTCCAACTCGGCCACCCCTTCGCCCGCAAATGCCGTCCCCACCTCCCTCAACTCCAACCCCGGCGCTCATGCAGCAGCGGCACTGGGGCTCCTGGGGTGCAGCGCTGCCAGTGCCACCCCTGCCACCACTCAGGTCCTCCTCGGGAACAACATCTGTTTGGGCGTGTCGTCGGCCGCCAGCCTGGCTGCACGCCACATCCCCCGGACCCTTGGCAATGTGCCATCCTCTGCCTTAAAGCTGTCCACCACCACCAACTTGCAGATCCCCAAAGTATCTGGAGCAACATCCATGGACATGAGCTCCAGGTGAGGCTTTGCTCAGCATTTCTAATGTGTGGCAGGTAAATATAAGTTTGTTTTTTACTAATCTTTATTGTTAAGCTTAAGGGAACTGGGATAATGCTGAGTAAGCATGAAATTGCTAAGTTCTGTTATATGTACTGTACTTACGCTGTGTCCTATAAGAACCATTCGACAAATGTCCCACATGCCTCCATAAAGAAAGATACACTTGTTGAATATGATCACTGTGTGAGATTGTGGCAGTCATGTATGGGTTTGGGTTGCTGTCATGTGTAAACAGGAAACCGAAGCCAAAAAAATCAATTAAAATACAACCACGTCCAGCTATCTTTATGAGAACCATTTTTAGTTTTGTGATTACATTTAGTTCAACGTCTTTTTTCACACAATTTCAAAAGCCTGATTAAGTGCTAACACTTGAAGAAAAGGAGGGTTTAGGTCAGGGCAGTAACTCTCATGCTGCCCTGACCTAACCCCTTCAGAAGCAAAACATTTTTACGCCCCACCCCAACAAATTATTTCCTCACTCAAGCTGAGTTTTATTTTTATTTTTTTAAAGAAGAAGAAAAAAAGACCTCAGTGCAGTAGTATGTCATGTTTAATTCCCCAAGAAATTTTTCTCCATTCAATTTTTTTGTCATCCCCCATCTGTTGGTGCCTCAAAGCTTGAGAACTCCTGGGTTAGGGTAAGGGTTTATCCCTACATGCTCATGCTCAGTTCTTTTTAGCCCCCATGAAAGAGGTTTTGACTTTCCATTCAGGGGAATTTAATTTTGTTCAGGACATGAAGTGACATTAACAGGCCCCTTGCCTTAACTGCATATTGACTAATGAGGCTTACACGTGTCCAGTCACCTCCAATACACAAGAAAATACCAGCGTTTCCCCAGCACTGACTGGGGAAACACTGGTAACAGAGCCCAGAGAATCTTTAGCCAAAATATGACAATTGCTGATCTAAATATCATCAGATAAGCAGCTGGACAGACTTCTTGAAATATTAGGCAGATTTGGCACTCAGAGGTTGCATATTGGATCAATCTGAGTAAAACTCGCTGCTGATAACTACATAGATGACAGTTGGTCACATTTGTAATATCAGTCAGCACTATTCGTTGCTGCAGTTCAAAACTCGAGTCGGAGTTACAATTTTTTTTAAAATATTTTGTTCCCCCCTGTTGTTTTATTGGCGTAGTTGCCACATCACTTCCTTCCATCCTGCCTGTACACACCCTTTCAGAGTTAAAGGATTTCAGCATCATTACACTTTGTGGCATTGCGTTCTGTTCATTTTGTTGTTGTTGTTGTTGTTGTTGTTGTTGTTGTTTTGACTGACTTCACACTGTCACAATCTTTAATTAATTTACAGCAGAACCAAAGCTGCCCAGACACAACATAAACCTACCTGAATTGAAGAAACATAAACATGCATAGAGGAAGAGATATTTTGATATGTATTCATTCAGTCATGACATATTACACAGACTGTACAAAACAACTCACAAGAGACTTTATTGTAAGATTGTCAGTGTTGCAGAAGTCTCAGATTTACTTTTATATCATGTTTGTTTCGAGATAAGCGCTAAAGCTTTTGCATTACAAGACACAATCCCTGGTTTAAGTAGTCAGCTGGACCTGGCAGATATGACCAAAATAACTGCCAAAGTGTGTGGGAGAAAAGTTTGAAGAACAGCAGGGATTAATGTTTTTCTTTGTCTCCACAGGGAAAATCACGATGAAGAGAAGCCAGCACTGAACAATATAGCAGACAACACAGTGGCCATGGAGGTGACGTAGTAGCGGTGCAGCAAAGAGTCCGCTCTTTAGGTGCTGTGCATCGTAGCATCGGGAATGCAAAAGGGACGGCAGGACTCGGACTCGCAGACGGGACGTGTGGCCGCGGCCGCTCGCAATTCTCATCTCTCTCATACTTTTTCAACCTTTTCTTTCTTCCCTTTTGGTTTTTTTTGTTACTGTTAAAAGTAAAATATTGACACCTGTAAATTATGAATATGGCAAAGTTAGTATCTGTACAGTAACTTCATATTTGTAATATCCTCCCCACCACCCAGTGTATATATACTACTTGAATACAGAACTGTCCATTTGTGATGTTTTGCACTTGGGAGTCAAAGGAAAAAAAAAAAAGTGAGCCAAGTAACTTGTGGCGAGTGTGAGAGACGTGCGAGTTGTATAGAGAAGAGTTTTATTACATCATGTGCATGGTGCGGAGCCTGCTGTTTTTATCTATTTATTGTGCTGTGTTTACAGTTTCTTTGTTTTGTTTTTTTAATTTTTGTTTTGTTTTGATTTTTATTTGTACACTGTACCTTTTGTTGGTTCCTGTGCTGTAGTAAATGTTAGGTAGCTACGGACTCCTGGGTATTTTTGTATATTGTGAACACAAAGCAGGTCTCACCCCCCCTACAAACACACACACAGATTTATTTTGGCTCCCCGTGCTTCTCTCTGTGGATTGTGTTAAAATCAGTGGTGACATACATACAGACAGACCTGGAGGCCAGGAGAAGTGGGTGGAGGAGGTGGTTGAAGAGGAGGTGGTGTGGTTCCCTCATGGAGAGGCACTCCTCTCTTCAGGGGGCTTCCATTAACATTATCCCAATTACAAGTAACAAAACAGGGATGAAGTCTCTTCCCAGAAGCTTCTGCCGCTTCTGATTTAAGCACTATTGTATTTTTTCTTTTTTTTTTGATGGTTTTGATGAATATCAATGCTGCTTTTATATTTTATTTGTTCTTTATGGGGTTGTCCTTCATTTTCATGCAAGCGGAGTCCCCCGTTTTTGTATTTGTTTTATCCCACAAACATTTTTTATGTAAAAGAAAATCAGTTATTTTTGTATTTTTTTTCTCTCTCTTGTGGTAAACTTGATTGTAAGCCTTCGTTCATTGAAAGACTTCATTCTTTTGTTTGTTTGTTACTTGTTCATGCATAGGTGATAAGGGAGGTGAATGGACAGTAATTGCTGTACGTGTTTCGTCATTCCAGTTTTTAATAACAAAAAATGCTAATGAAGGGGCAGAGAGTTGTGAGAAAGCATCTGTTCTCTCCTCTCTTCCCTTTTCTTCAAGTTCTTTTTTTTGTTTATTTCTTTTTTTCTTTTTCTTTTTTTCTTTGAAAAAAGAATCTCCAGACGGCTGCAAGGCCAAAAACCACAAGTATTGGGTGCCTTCCTTTGGGGAATTTTATGTTCTCTCTTCTATGAAGAGTTAGGCACAAAGGCAGCATTACTTAGTAGTGCTTCTCGTCTTTGTCAGAATCTGAATGCCCAGTCCAATGGCAGGATATATCCTTGAGGTTTACTTGTCCCACCTGGAGGCTGAAAAGACTAAAAAAATGTGACAAAACTCTCACTAAAATAAGACAATAAAGCCCAGGGCATTAAATGTGATTTGTTCAGACCCTTCTTTTATATATGTGTGTGTCTGTGTGGGTGTTTTCAAGGTTGCCAAACTGTACAGATAATACAAGTGAGCTTAACTTTGGTTTATCTGCGAGTTTACTTGTACATGGTCAGAAATGTAAAGGGTATACTTAGGCACCCACTATCAGGTCTAAAACAATTGTGACACTGAATTCCTCAAGCAGTTTCACTGGTATTTACATTGGAAGTCTTACTGAACAGTATGTTCAAATTACACATATATGAATGTCATAAATAATGTAAGATATTAGTAGTTTGATATTTAAGCTCTGGCTATATAAGTCGGCCACGCCAATGTTTTACCCATGTTTTAAATAAAGTCTGGGTTAAAATTTAAGTCAAATTACTAAAACTGACTTGGATCTTTCAAAAATACTCATTACTTTATTCTGTTGCATGTAAGGAAAGATTGATAGCTCTCACAAGTGTGATTCTTTACATTATAGTTGTGAGATGGGAGTACTGTGCCCCCCTCCCCCAAAAAAGCAGTGCCCTTACTTTATTTTTGTTTGGGGTTATTAGTTAGCTTAAACTAATTCTGAAGGTCTTTCAAAGTTTTTCTGTGGACATTGGCTACTTTTTCACTCATTTCAGTTTTTGTACTTGTTTTTTTTTTTTTTTTTTTTTTGCTAAGCAACTTAATGCAAACCTATGAATCATGACCATAAAAAGGCACCGAAGTAAAAGGATGAACCAGTGTCTCCATAAAAGAACCAGTTTTAGATTGTAATCCTTAGCCTGCCAGTAACAAAGTGCCTGTCACAAAACACATGATTTGTTCCCATTTCAGTGTCAAGGCCAACACAGGCACAAAACAGCATTTCTGCACCAACAAGGCCATTCCTGAAGAACTATTAGCCAAAATCCATTATAACCAGTGTTGGGAAGGTTACTTTTAAAATGTATTCCACTACAGATTACAGAATACATGCCCCAAAATGTATTTTGTAACGTATTCCACCAGTGTATGAATGTGAGAGTGAATGAATAGTGGTATTGTAAAGTGCTTTGGGTGCCTTGAAAAGCGCTATATAAATCCAATCCATTATTATTATTATTATTATTGTATTCCATTATGTTACTCAATGAGAGTAACGTATTCGGAATACTTTGGATTACTTAATATATTATCATGCTGTTTACAACTACATGAATGCACTATTGCTGTGTGATTTATTACTTTTACTGAAGGTTATTCGCCATACCAATAGCAACTAGATTTTTAAATCTTAATATAAAATGAGTAACAGTAGGGTGGACATTAGGTAAGCACTTTTTGCAGCAATCTCATATAGAAAACTATTCTATATGAGATTCTATATGATATAAAACAGCTCCGCGGCTCCGAACCGTAAAGGCATAAAACCGTAAAGAGACCTCCAGCTAATACGTCGGGCTCCGTGTCGGGCTCCGTGTCGGGCTCGTAGCCGAAAACTAGCTTTACTTTGTTGTCGGGGTCAACTTTGTATATGTATATATATGTATATATAGATTTACATGCTTCCATCTCCCGTTTCTGGTCGGTGACATCTCGTACTTTTCGACTCCGTTTCTCCCTCCTCGCTCACAGACACATAAATGATATGACAGTCCATTCTCCCTGCAGCACGGACTACACTGCCCATGAGGCTACATTCTTTAGGGCTATGCCTGTAACACTCTGCCTATTGTCTTCATATTAAATCATTTTTGTGAATCATTTTATAAAATATTTCTTCACATCATTATGCGAGCCGCAAGTAGGGGTGACATGAGAGCCTCTTAATGCGCGTTTTGGTTTGTTTTCCACCAGCATGGACACCAAAAATAGAGTTCGTAGACTTATGAAACAGGAAAATACAGCTGTGTAATCCATTCATTTCAACAAAGTAACTGTATTCTGAATACCACCTTTTAAAATGGTAACTGTAACGGAATACAGTTACTCATATTTTGTATTTTAAATACGTAACGGCGGTACATGTATTCCGTTACTCCCCAACACTGATTATAACTTAGCAGTCCAGTGTGACCTTAAAAGATTGGAGGAAAACAGACAGTTGGAGGACAAAAGATGTGTCAGGGGTTAAAAAATAAGCTCAGCAGATGAACAATATCTAAAACTCCTTAAGAAGCGGGTGGCGGGGCAGGGCAGCAAAGACCTGACACAGATCTGACAGATGCATGAGGCCCTTCAGTTGATGTATCTATTGTTCACTGAAGCCTCAGCAGAAATGGTCTTGGTGAATAGGTGATTGTTCTAAACGTCCTCTGGCATTAACATCAGCACAAAAACTGTGTGCCATAAGCTTTAAAGCAAGTGTGGCCACTCTTTCAATGATGAGGATATGCACATCCTGGACGTAAAGGAGCACTGGTTTGTAAAAGGCAGACAGCCACCTCTGAACCAAAGAAGGGGCCTAAGAGTACAATATTTGCCATCTTTTAGTGCTGTGATTGCAGTCATTTCTCCAGTTCTTTGTGAACAGCCCTTGGGATTAATAAGTTGGTTTCACAATAGTTGATGTGCAAGCTTGTGGCTCACTGTTATGCAACAGTCTTGTTTATAAGGTTGGGGAACCCTCCAGTCACCCAAGTTTAAGAAGTCAATTTGATGAGTATTTATCAGACTGAAAATGTTGCATCCAGATCAATGAAAAAATGAAATAAATATATGTTAGAAATAATTCTAAAAATTGATAAAAGACCAGGATGATCTAACTTAATTTATTATCTAATGAAGTGGATATCTCCCCTTGGTAGATTGCAACCTTAAATCAAAGATCTAGTTTAGCCTGCCCAGGACAGCAGCACCAGGGCAGGGCCAGGCCTTGGTTAAAGAAGCTAAACTGATCTGCCTTCTAATAGGCCCACCAACCACACCAGGGGCTCTGAGACTTTGGTGCCTTGTGGTTGGGTGGCAGTCAAGGGGCAAAGATCCTTGCAGACTCTTCAGCTTCCAAAACTAGCTTGAGGTACATGGCATTTACTCCCCCAAGGTGATGTTATTCATGCATGTCCTTCGAGGAGGAGGTCCTGGGGCAGACTAAGGAATCACTAGAGAGATCCATAGATTCATAG